ACATCCTGAGCAGGATAAGAAAAGTACATGTAGGCCAAAGCATGCAGGGCTACCCTGTGCAACAAAGTAGGGGTACATGGTCATGGATACCAGTATGGAAAACCCACAATAGCAGTCATCAGTTAGAGCCCGTTAGCATGCAAGCCTGAATGCACATGCCATTAGGCTTTCGGTCACACTGTGAGCACCAAGATTTGCAACACCTCATACGATATTTTATCTGACACGTATAATAAATGTTACAGCTACAGTGTGTGCATGCAGTATGTGTGTGGGATAACCTGCCCAGATAACAAGCTGCACTGTAGCTGGAACTTGTAACGGCTGTCACCGCAGTCTCCGCAACTGGGTTAACGTTCGGGTTTGTGTCTGGGCACGCGGAGACGCGCATGACTCACAACACAGGAAGGAAACCTGGTAGCAAACCATTCAGCATTTTTATATTTTATGCACTCTGTATTTACATGTTTGTTTTCTCAACAGGAAGGAATAAACAAGTTAGTCAGCTGATGACTAAATCATGACAGATGCATTAATGATACACCACTGGTCCTCAGTGTTCACGCATTGACATTCACAGATAGGGCAGTTATGTGTGTGTGTGTGTACGAGTGTGTGTGTGTGTTGCGTAACATGTTTCTCAAGCGAGACCTCTTTAATTGCCACAGTATAGACTCCGTGCATACAGGCGGGAGAGCAACAGTGTTTATGCTTCTTGTAAAGCAGATGTGGGGGTTGAAATCAATGGGAGGATGGTGTTTGTTGGGTAGGGAGGAGAAAGGAGGGGTGGAATAGAGGGTGAAGTGGAGAGGAGGAGACTTGGAGAGCTGGATGCAGCGGTGTAGAGGACAGGCGGGTGAATGAATTGGTGTCATCTTAGCTAGTAGAAGCCGTGGCTTCCCATCTGCTGCCATCATTAACAGTAAGAGCGTCCCTAATTTAAGCTAATTGCTGACATCGAGGAAGTAAACAAAGCGCGTTCAGTTTGGAGATGAGCTGAAGACAAGGAGGGTGAAAAGAAACATTTTCAGGAGGCTGTGAAATGGTTCCAGACTGCACTTGAAATCTTGTCAAGTACAGTCTGGAAAGAGGTGCTGAAACAGAGCTTAAATGGCTATGCTAAACAGGGCTACATTGTTTTTTGCAAATAAGCAACAAGGATGATAAATTCCTTTTCTTGCATTACCTAAGTGCGTTGTTCAGAGCTGCACTGATGAATATTTGTATAATATATACAATACATCATGAACGGTCCATTTATAATACAAAAGATTGTTGCCTGTAATGACTATCTATCTTGCCTCCCTGTAATTTTCTCCTTAGCTTAATGTATCATTTTAGCATCTTTCAACTCAGTCTTCAGAGACCATAGTGTTGGGTTCCAATATGGTTTCCACTTATAGTAGGCAACGCTTTTATGATATATGTTTAATATTTTTCTAGATGCCAACACCAGTGGACATCATTGGCATTTGGCTAACATTTATAGTATATTCCAGTTTCCTACTCTGTATAAATATATTAAAGGTTTTCCACATTAATTTAAAAGATGCTAAAATTGCTGTATGAATACAAGTTATTGTTTATCTGCCATTTGAAAGAGCTATGAAACTATGAAATAATACTGTTTTTCGAAAAACATTTTGGTCATTCCATGAGATAGCTGAAAGTGAATGAAATAGGCTAACAAATATGAAACTGCAAAGATATGTTGTAGTATTTTTTTATATAAAGGTTATCTGTGGCAGACAGTACAAAAAATCTGATAAGGCAATATATGTTTAGAAACTTCCTTTACTTTAGCCAACATGGCTTAAGTAAAGCATGGTTTCAGTATCCTTTGCTAATGTTAGCTGTATTGTATTTTGTGGTATGTTAATTTCTCAGGGACCACGTACAAGAACTGCTTCTTGTAATCTTCTACAAGAAGACATGCTTTGTACTATATTTAACTATTAGCTGATTTTAATCCTACTAGCTAATTTACATCCTACTTGCTAATCCTACTAGTAAGTTACTGTAGTTAGCAATGCAAAATTACTCTTTTTTTTCTGAGTGATTTGTATTTTACTTTAATGTAACCTGCATTCTGTCAAAATGCTTCAGCTTTATTTATAGAAATATGGTAGAGTAAAACATCTGGGTATCTCACTTCCGACAAATGCTTGCACCACAGCATCTACTGCTATCACTTTACCGGTGCCCATACATGTGTCCATACCAGGTCAGTTTTCTATTCAGCAGCTCAGTTCTAAGCTGTACAGGTAGCATCTTTGAATGATTTTTCTTTTCTTAATTTTTTTGTTTGTTTTCTTGCACAAACAACTGACACAGTGCACAGTCAAAAAAGAGAAACTTAAAATGTGTATGTGACTGTAAAATCCAAATGAATACTCTTAGTGGCCACTTTATTAGCTATCCCTGTTATAGTGCTCGCTAATGCAAATATCTAATCTGCTAATCATATATTAGCAATTCAATGCATTTAGGTAGGTAGGTGGACACTGTATAGACCTGTTGGAGCATCAGATTGTGGACGAAAGGTGATTTAAGAGGCTTTGAACTTGTTTGTTTGCTGGTTTGTTGGTGCTGGCACTTTCTAATGTAACCATCTCTAGGGTTTACAGAAAATCCCAAAATGATGAGACAAAAAAATCTAGTGAGCAGCAGTTCTCTGGGTTAAGCTTTTCTGGGTTAAGGCAGCAGTTACTCAAAAAAACAGTCGTTACAACCGAGGTATGTACATCACACAACATGTTGAACCCCGAACCAGATGGGCTGCAAGCAGCAGAGGACTACACCAGTTTTTGTGTTAAGTAGATTGACTGACAGAATGTATAACATTATATAACATTTTTTCTTTTCTTTAAATCCATGAAATAGCATTGTAAAATTGAAACTTCAAGTGTTTCACATTGAAAACCCAGATTCTTAAAGGTTCGGAAGTAGCCCAATCACTGTCTAATGTCAATAACAGTAAAAATATTTCAAGCCAAATAACTGAGGCTGAAAACAGTGATTTGAAATGTCTTTGCTATGCTTGCAGATCAGAGCTTTTATTGAGAACAAAGCTGTACTGTACAGGGTGGGCCATTTATATGGATACACCGTAATAAAATGGGAATGGTTGGTGATATTAAAGTCCTGTTTGTGGCACATTATTATATGTGAGGGGGCAAACTTCTCAAGATGGGTGGTGACCATGGTGGCCATTTAGAAGTCGGCCATCTTGGATACAACTTTTGTTTTTTCAATAGGAAGAGGGCCATGTGACACATCAAACTTTTTGGTAATGTCACAAGAAAAACAATGGTGTGCTTGGTTTCAACGTAACTTTATTCTTTCATGAGTTATTTACAAGTTTCTGACCACTTATAAAATGTGTTCAATGTGCTGCCCATTGTGTTGGATTGTTTCTCTTTTCTCTTTGGATTGTTTCTCTTTTCTCTGAAACAAAGTTTCTCTTTGTTTCAGCCATTGACATGTCGAAGAGGTTAACACGTGAGGAGCGGATGGAAATTGTGTTGATATCTGGTGAACGCAGTAACCGGGTCATTGCAGCAGATTTCAATGCAAGACACCCTACGAGACCACCCATCTCCCATGCTACAGTTAGCAAACTGCTTGCTAAGTTTCGTGAAACTGGTTCAGTGTTGGATTTGCCAAAATGTGGACGTAAGAAAACTGTCACTAATGAAGAAACCTCAGTGGCTGTCCTGGCTTCATTCTACAAGAGCCCACAGCGTAGCACTTGCCACATGTCACTGGAGAGTGGCATTAGTCGAACATCCCTTCGGCGGATATTAGCTACTCACAAATGGCACCCTTACAAACTCCAGCTACTGCAGCATGTCAACGAGAATGACCCAGATCGGCACACAGAATTTGCAGAATGGGCAAAACAAAAATTGGAACAGGACCCTCAGTTCACGCAGAAGATTTTGTTCAGTGATGAGGCAAACTTTTATGTGAATGGTGAAGTTAACAAACAAAACTACCGCTATTGGTCTGACACTAACCCACATTGGATGGATCCCTCCAAGACTGTTGTAACAACAAAAGTGATGGTTTGGTGTGGTATATGGGGTACAGCGATAGTGGGTCCATTCTTCATCGATGGAAACCTCAAGGCTGCTGGATATTTGAAAGTGCTACATGATGATGCGTTTCCCTCTTTATGCACTGAAGCTGGCATGTTCCCTGAGTTTTCCAACAAGATGGTGCACCACCACATTATGGGTGCCAGGTTCTTACATGAACAGTTTCCTGGAAAGTGGATTGGTCGTCGTGGGCCAGTTGAATGGCCCCCAAGGTCTCCCAATCTGACCCCCTTAGACTTTTATCTTTGGGGTCATCTGAAGACAATTGTCTATGGTGTGAAGATACGAGATGTGCAGCACCTGAAACTACAGATACTTAATGCCTCTGCTGGCATTTCTCCTGCAGTGTTGCTATCAGTGTGTGAAGAGTGGGAGAAGAGGGTTGCATTGACAATCCAACACAATGGGCAGCAAATTGAACACATTTTATAAGTGGTCAGAAACTTGTAAATAACTCATGAAAGAATAAAGTTACGTTGAAACCAAGCACACCATTGTTTTTCTTGTGACATTACCAATAAGTTTGATGTGTCACATGGCCCTCTTCCTATTGAAAAAACAAAAGTTGTATCCAAGATGGCCGACTTCTAAATGGCCACCATGGTCACCACCCATCTTGAGGAGTTTGCCCCCTCACATATACTAATGTGCCACAAACAGGACTTTAATACCACCAACCATTCCCATTTTATTACAGTGTATCCATATAAATGGCCAACCCTGTACAATGAGTCAGCTTGTCAAAATGCTCTCTTAACCTTTACTTTTTAATTACTGTTATTTTGTTTTAAAAAAGCGTCCTTGGTTTGGTTGCACACTTCAATTGGTTTTCTAAGCACATCAACCAGCTTGTGAGTGGTTTTGTGTAACCTGAGGCACTAAAAGAGAGCCTGAACTCACCGTAGTGGTTTTAACTCGGCCTCCGGGCTGCGTACAAGTCCAGCCAGATCTATTGACTAACAGGTCGCAACCCTCGTCCTCCAAACACGGCACCATCTCACACCATTGCTTTTTCCGAACAATACCAGCTGCGGAGGAGACACAGAGAGAAAAAGAGTGATTAGGAGAGTGACCTGGGGGGTTCGGGGGGGTGAAATAAACAGATGAAGAGAAATGATAGGGAGAAGTCAATGCAAAGATGTAACGATTAAGACAGAAGAAGAGCGAGTCGGGGAATGACAGATGGAGAAAGACAGATATGGGCAAAGTTATAACAGGATTGAAAAATGATGGAAAAGCAGAGATGTGAAAAAAATGTAGAAATATAAATGGAAAAAAGAAGGAGCAATGTGGTGGTGGTGGGGTGAGAGATGAGATGTGGAGGTAGATGAAGAGCAATGAAGTAAAGGGACAATTGAGAGGTATGAACGCAGACGATGACAGTGAGAGATGAGGGAAAGATGGGGAGAATCAGACAGATGGAGTGAAATGGAGAGAGCTGTGATCAGTCAGGTAAATAAAATCAAACATCTCAAATGATATTTAGAAGGCTTTACAGCCATCTTGCCTTCAGCAACATTTCAACCAGGATGATATATTTTGTTAGCACGCCACCTAAATTTTTACCACAAGGGATTTAAAAAACAAAATAAAAACAATTCATATGTTAAATACAATCTGGGACATTCGGTGCGCATTTTGTCATAGCTGTATGACAAATGTTTTTCCAGCACTGCTCTGCTTTATTGAAGTTTCAGACTCCAGTTAGTTAGTTTCTACTCGTCTCTCAAAAGCAATAGGATTCAGGCCATTACATAGAGGCTGAACACGTACTAGGCTTCACTGACAGACTGAGACACAGTGACAAGACTGATAAATGTATCGACAACTGAAGCAGGCTTCTGTCAATTCAAAGAAAGTGTTGTTGGAGGTGCAATGTATTCTTTCACCTGCACTTACGCTGGCATAGGTTCCCAGTCATCCCTGTCTTTAGTGCTTGAGTTGAAGGCAAATAGCATCTTATTTTAATTCTACTTTTCCTGGTGAATATTGGAGATTTTTTGTTTGTTTTGGACATTCTTAATATATTTTGTGTCCCAAAAAGTGGCAGTACTGCTGCTCACTGCATTGAGCAGGTCCTTGTTGCATTGCAGGCATTGTGTGTTACACTGTCACACTATTTTTCTATCTATCCACAGTAATGTGAAAAGAAATAACACAAGGGTTTGATATATATTGGAAAAATATTTGTACAATGTTGTGTTTTTTTGCTTGGAAAACACAAGACAAACACAGAGTTTGTTCAATTCTAATAGTCAACACTCAGTGTGACCACCTGTTTTTCAGTTTTATTGTCTTTTCCTTTAAATAGTCTTCAGAATATTTCTCCAGGCTTCTTAAAAGACATTCAAAGCTCTTCTTTGGATGTTGGCTACCTTTTGTTCTGTTCTCTGTCAAGATGATCCCACAATGCTTCAACAATGTTGGAATCCCGGCTCTAGGAAGACCAATCAATGATTGACTATTTAAATTTGTGTTTTATTATCCAGGCATGCTTTTACTGCATTGGCAGTGTACTTGAGATCGACACCACAGGCTGAAATGAAGCCCCAAACATGACGGCACCTCCACCGTGTTTTGCAGATGATTGTAGACACTCACTGTTGTAACTCTCTTGAGCTCCTCCGTACATACTGATGAAGGTATGTGGATTTATCACTTTATAAGACCTGTTTCCAACAATTTTTAGACCAGTCCTTGTATAATTTTGCATATTTTAGATTTTTCTTGAATGGCTGCTTGGCAGCCACCTTACACTGAGGTCATTTCTTATGAGCCTGACAAGCTAAAGGCCAGATGTGTCTCTCAGATCCTGTGTCAGGTCTTTGCTGGATATTTTTTTCCCTTTTCTTAAGGACATGGCTTTCAGGTCCAGTTAATTTGCTGTAGATAGTACTATATGACATTTGTCCTCCACTTGTTCAGTTTCCTCAGATTTCTTTTATTAAGGGCACATTGCACACCATACTGAGTTATGCCAAGTTTTGGAATCATCTTGTTGGAGCTAAAATATTATTATTATGCCTGTCAAACTGTGTTATCATCGGTATCATTTTCTGTAGATTTAAATAAAGAAATCAGAAACAAATTATGTGATTTTGCCACAGGCTGGTGGTAACAACGTATCTAAAGATACAATTTGGAATTGTTTCTTTGCTCAGTTTTTCTGTTATGTATGGATGTGTCTCTTTTTTGTGCTTGAATAGGTCAGTTTTATGTAGCTTTAAGATTAAAAATACATTCCTCTGAAAATGTTCAAAAAAGCAGGTAATGTCCAAAGAAAAAGTTTAGAAAGCTGGAGAACTGTTGCTCAAAACCACTTTAAGATATTGCACGGCAGTCTGACTCACTGGAGGGAAAACATAATGAAATGGGTGGCTAGAGATATTTGCGCAGTACTTTTAAAATTCGATGGTTTTTCATCACAAAAGAACCCCGTAATTGTATTTATCATGACGTACAAACACGGCCATCCAATAGGTGATTTTAATATCTGCAGTTTTCAATTGTAAATAAGCTTCCGTTCAGGGGTTCAGCTTATTTCTTACTGAGTTTTCGACTGTAAGTCATCCATCATATAGCCCCACTAAGTTATCAGGAGTCTTCATTGTCTTCAGCTGCAGCAGAAGTTTGTGAGTTATAGAAAATCAGACAAGATATATGCAGCTAGCTGCTTTCTGTGACAGGCCATGCTGCAGAATGAATCATCAATAAGCATCATCAAAGGATCACAAATTTACATTAAACCCGTGGCTTTGGAAAAGAGCCTCTATGATAACATATTAGCACCAGATTGCATAATAGCAGCTAGGATGAATTTACTGAATATTAAATGAGTAAATAAATGAATATTTCATTTTCATGTCTGGCATTTACATGTCCCATCCCTTACTAATGTGTTATTCAGACACGTTACCTAACAACAAACCAAACACGACACGTTAACCACCATCGTGCAACATCGGAATCACCCAGACACGCACATAAACGTAAACAAATGTAAACATAAACAAAAGGCTACCACAGATAACGCTCTAGGAGATATTTCATTATGGAAATCCAACAAATATACATACACATAAACACAGACCCCTAAACCTAAAGCATAATACATGTGACATCTGCATGTACTCGTGACAACCATTTCAAATTTCATCCATCTACCCAACATCTTCGGAAGCATGTTTCCCTTCCTATGTTTTAGAAAGATATTAAGAAAGTGGGAAAACGCAGTCAAAATGACATCAAATTAAAGCTGCATTCCCAATCGCAACTCCAATCAGGAACAGGAACTTTTTAAACAACATTTGTCATAAACTGTGATGTAAAGGACAATTTGAAATCTGTTTAACTCAAAACATGAAAATCTCCGGTGACATTAAACGTGTCCCGTGCGGATTTCCTTATAAACAAACATTATTATTGTAAACAAAAGCTTGACAAGATTTCTCAAAAATAATGGCTGCTGGAGGAAAAATAGATAATAAAAGAAAAAAAACAAACAAACTAAGGGTCACTATGTATGTGGTGTAATAGGTTGCTTTTACAACCCCCTTTAAAGATAAGGTGTTTAATCAAGGCCTCGTGGTTTGGCTTGGCTCTCAATCTTTACAACTGAAAAGCTGTGTTTGAGAAAAAATATTAAAGGATGAAAACCATGCAACACACATCCACATGAACATGTAAATCAGAGCCACAAAAATGAAAAGGAGATGAACTGAGACAGATAGATGAGAACGGATGAAGACAAAGTAGAGGAAGAGCGTATCTAGATAACATTCTTGACCATTACAGGATATGGGCGAGATAAAGTAAGAAGGATACATTCATACTCATATCAGTATGCATTCATGGATTGAAAATTGTATTCTTTAATGGGTAACAGTGAAACCTAGAATGAATTGTAGTGCAAACATACATCATATTTTTTTTCACCGCGTATTCGCTGTCTTATAAAACGGGTGGGAATTGTGCTCGCTTCCGTATCTATAAATTTCCCCGAAGGGCACCTTCAGTAGCTGTAATAACCTCGCATGCAAATCATCGGCGAGCATGCTTCTCGATGTTAATACCTTATCGCCATAAACAATATTTATATAGCAATCAATCTATAGAATATGCATACCTTATCGAGCGCTACATTGCCAAATAACGCAAGTACCGTGAACACAGTGTCAGCTCAGTAAAACGGGAGCTTCAAATTGACGTCCGTGTGAAGCATTGTTATTATTGAGTGCGTTTTGCTGACATGCTGCTTCAGGTTGAATTACTTGGCGCTGCTGCATTTCGCCTCAAGGCTAGCTGCACCCAAGCAATATAAACTATGTTTAACTTCACTATTTTTACTTCAGGGACAAAGTTTCACAAGGCAAAAGAAAGCAATTTCAAACAGTTCAAAATCTGAAACCTATTAAAAACTGTCAGCATATGTGCATAAGCGCATTGCCCTGTCATTCTGCGGAAGATGCATTTCAAAAGTTATTGTTGCAGTTTGCCTGTTAAACAGTTCACTGGCTATCAATCTCTAGACATCTAGAGGTGCTAAGTATCTGTATGATCAGTATTGTTGATCCTCCTTAAAGCCTTCCTGCATCCCTGCCCGGTTCAGTAGGCTTTGAAATGAAGTGCTCGTCATATGGTGTCTGAAACCACACTATCCTGATTATTTCTCATGTCACAAGTGGACAGTGGTGACTGACAATTTTGGTGATTTTTCCTAGCCCAATAATCTCTGCATCAGGCATAAGCTGGCTTGAACTTTTCTGTTTTTTCAGTTCTTACTTCCATCACTGTTCACATGTACAAATGAGCAAAGAACCCGGAGTCCCTTTATGTTAAGCTTTTCCAAAGGTTTGTGCTGTTATTCCCACTGGAACAATTACTGAATCTCAGCTTGTCACAAAATAAGCTATAAAAACAGACGTGGATTAGAGGAACACTTCTTACAAACTAGTAACTTTGAAGAATTCCCTTGCCTTTACATCTTCTCTAACAAGCTTTTCCTTACAGGTGTTCCTAAGAGATGTAA